TGGGCGGGGCCTTTCCCTCTCTTTCTTTTCCTTCTTCGGGTTGGCGCGTTTTGTGTCGGGTTGGGGGGTAGTCGCATTTTGGGGGCGTTAGCTGGGGCCATGAGCGTCGCTGTTGCCGTCTCGCTCACTTCTCTCGGCTTGATTGCAGCTTTCGTGATGGGTCCTAAAATGGGGCCTGTTTTGGCGATTGTACTTGCCTTCGTGTTTCTCGTTTCCTTTTTCAACGTCGGGCAACTCGAATGATTGGCCGGGTGTGGGCCACCACAGTTGGCACATGTGGCGGGGTCCGATCTTGGTCTTGGGTATTCGGCGGCGGCGTGCGGCGCCCCGCATCTAACGCAAGCGATGGGGCGGTGACAGCCCTTTGAGGAGTGCCTGAACCCCTGACATCTATGGCACTGGGCGGGCCCCTTCTTGCCGCGCCAGGCCTCAATAGTTATTCCAGGCATACACATTAATTCCGTTACCTGGTAGATGTTTGGCAGTAGTCCGGGTGTTTTGAGTAGGGCGGCGAAAAAGATACAGCCTGGTCTTCCTGCTCGCGCTCTTATGCGTTTGGCATGTTCAACCGTGTACCCTTTCTCCGCTAGGGCCTGTTTAATGTGTTCCGGTTCCGTATTAAACGGAAGGCCTCTAATGGCCACTTTTAGGCTGCGTTCCTCAGGGAGGGCATATGAGTACCAACTCATATCCGGCTGTACCTTCTCCATTTCGGAGAGGTATGCTTGGATGAGTCGGTACTCATCGCCATCTGCGGGTGAAAAACGCACGCCTACGCCAAAAGGTCTAGCATTTGGTGGGCGGCCGAGTCGATCATGGAGCGTTTTGAAGTGAATTTGCCAATCCGGCATCTTTTCAACGACCAGAAGCGGGTACTTACGCTCTTTCGTACTTTCTGTTGCGGTCGATTGGGTAGTGGCGGTCTGTGCGGTCTGCTCGGGATTTGGTGCAGTTTCCATTGCGTTGAGTGAGCTTTTGGAGCTTTTTGGAGGCGGGGCCAGGGGCGTGGTCACCGCCTGTGAATAGCTAGAAGGAGGGTAGTTCGACTTTTTACTCACCGGCTCTCTGCACGGTACAGCCTCAGTTGCATACCCTACTTTTTCATGTACCCCCGGTTCCTTACCGACGCTGGGTGGATGTTCCTGGAATACTCGCTTCGGCTTTGGTTCGCGCGGTGGCTGCGGTGCTGGTGTCAACAGTGCTAGTGATTGTTGCGGTGATGGTGTTGGTGTTGGTTGCGGCGACGTTGCTATGCCTCCGCTGCTGTGCGACCTCTGCAGGCGGGGGTCGCGTGGGTGTCGGGCTCGTTTTTCGGGCTGGTCTGGTGGTGTGGCAGTGCTGCGGGGGCGTTTTTGTCGCCATTGTATGTAGTCGAAGGTCGGCAGCTCGATCGGGGACCCACTGATTGCTCGTAGGGCCTGGAGAGCGTCTTCATCGGCCGGGCATAAGGCAAGGGTATTACCCGCTTCGCGCTCCAGCAACCGGACATATGCATTAAGCCAGCGATTCAGCCTATCCGATAATAAACCGGATTGAACTAGTCGGGATACCATCACCGCGTCAAATTCATATTTGACGCTTTGTGATGGGGCTCCGGCCAGTCTCTTGGCTATTTCACTGGTCGTGCTTCCGGGTGCTGCAGCACGACTTGTGGGTAGTTGTGAAATTGGTGTGGGTTGGGGTTGCGGCGTTGTTGATGATGTTATGTTGGTTGTCGGCGGCGGTTGCGGCTGCGTCGGACGCTGTGGCTGATCGTCTGCCATTTTCGCGACGTAATCGCGAGCGCGACGCGGCAGCGCAGATGGGAATGAGCCGACGCGACCCTGAGCAGCGCGCGCGAGCGCGCTGCCCTACTGCTATGTGCTGCAAAGTCCCCGCTGGCCGAGGGGCCAGGACAGGTTCATCCGTTTTATCTCAGTATAAGACGGGCGACACTGAAAGAGTTTTAGTGGATCCGTGCATGTAAGAAGGCTCATATGCGGTCCGAGGTCGAGGCTCTCTCTTTCTTCGTCTCGCGCGTCGCCGGCGCCGAAGGCGCCGCGGCGTGCGGGGAGTCTGGTCTGGGCCGGTTGGCCCACTTCAGATGTAGCGGGCTCGCGTCTCGACATCGGGACGAGACGGTCAGTTAGGGCTGTACCCCCGCCTCCGCTTCTTCACACGTCGCCCTCGGCGCGGTCAAGCCCACCGGGTGAGACCCATGAGGGAGGCCCAGTGAGCGACCAGCGAGCGGGCGACGGACTTCAGCGGGCAGGGGTAGTGTCGTGTCCGGGGGTAGAAGTGAAAAAAGTTCTGCCAGTCTGCCCGAACTTTATGACAAAGTCCGTGAGCAGAACTGTGAGCTGTTGTATCAGTTGGGATGTCGCTTCTTGGTGGTGGTGGTTGCCGTCTATGGGTGGTGGGTTGCCATCTTTGGGTGGTGGGGCTGCGGGGGGCGCGTTCGTCGGCGAGGCATCGCTCGCTCGACGGCGTCTGTGGCGGCGCCGTTTGGGGCTGCTGGAGTTCGAGGGAGGAGCGTTCGCGGGGGCCATCAGTGTGGCCGGCGCGTGCTCGCTCACCTCGACTGGGTATTGTACTGGTGTGGTGGGCGGGCGGCCGGTGCGGGCCACTGTTGTGGCGCGGCGATTGCGCGCCTCGCGCTGGAGCGCGGGGCACGCGCTGTGATTGGCCGGGTGCGCGCCCGCGCAGTTCACGCAGGTTGCGGGCTGCGCTAGCGGGCGGGGGCAATCGGCGGCGGCGTGCGGGTCACCGCAGCGCACGCAAGCAAGCGCGCGATGACAGCCGAGGCTGGAGTGGCGGAACCCCTGGCAGCGGTGGCACTGCGCGGGGGCGTTCTTCCTTCCTCTCCAGGCTTCGACAGTGATCCCGGACATACTCAGGAGGTCACTCACTGAGTAGATGGCCGGGATGAGGTCTGGTGTTCGACGAAGCGAAGCGAAGTATAGCGAGCCGGGGCGGCCTGCTCGCGCCCGGATCTGCTTGCTGTACTCAATCTCAAAGCCTTTTTCTGCAAAGGCCTTGGTGATGTCATCGTGGCTGGTGTCCACAGGTAGCCCACGGATGGCCACCTTTAGGCTGCGGTCTTCTGGACGAGCGTGGGCGTACCAGCTCAGTCCGGTCTGCTTGGAGAGGTAGGCCCGAACGAGCCGGCCCTCGTCATCGTCCTGCGGGGTGAAACGTACGCCCGTTCCGAACGGGCGCACGCTGGGAGCTCGGCCGAGTTGGTCGTGTATTGCGCGCAGGTGCTTCGGCCAGTCCCGCAGCTGCTCGACCACGATCGGCGGGTGTTTGCGGACCCGTGGGAGCGTGGGAGTGCTGCGGGAGGCCGACTGCGCGGTCGACACGGCGGCGGGTGATGCGGCGGTAGGTGCGATTTTTTTCTCTGCGAGGTGGGTAGGCGCAAAAATTTGCGCGGCCTGGGCATAGCTTACCGACTCGGTGGGTGTCGGTAAAGCAGTTGGCGGCTCGATCTGTGGTACATCATGGGCAGCGGGGGCGGTCAGTTGCTTGGGCTGGTGTTCCTCCTTCGTAGGGGTCTTCACCGTTGCTGATATGGGGGTGCGGAACGTTACCGGGGAGTCGCCATAGCTACGGGAGCGGCTTAGGCGCTCACCGCGCGGGCGTCCGGCGCGAGGTTGCGCCTCCTTCGGTTTTGGCGTCCTCCTGTTGCGGATGGGCTTCAACTCGAGGGATTGTGGCGGCGGGAAAACGAGCGGCATTTGGATGCCCTCGTTGTTCGTCTCGATTATGGGTCTGTCTCCAAGCTCATATCCGGTGGTGCTCCATTCGTCTTGTTCCATAAGGCGGATGTAACACGCAAGCCAGCCCGCTAAACTCTCGGATAAAAATCCGGATTCGATGAGTCGGGCGGTCATCGCTGCGTCCAATTCATATTGGGCGCGTGGCGATTTCCACCCGTACGTCAACGCACACCAGCGGGCACAGCTGCGTGCCATCTCCTCCTCAGTAGGGACGGTTTGGGGCTGGTCTTCGTCCATAGTGCGGCATGTGGGGCTTACTTCTGCGCGATCTCCTTGACCGAGCAGCGCCGTGCGGCGCGCTCAGGCCTGCGGCAGGGGGGTGCGGAATCCACGCTGGCGCGGTGGCGCCAGGCAGCGCTCGCGGAGCAGGAAAGCTCAGCGAAGTAAGTACAGCGAGGTCGAGGCTATTTTGGTCACTACCTATGTAGGCCACAAGTGCCCGCACTTAGCGCTATATTACTGCGCTAGTGCGCCTATCGGAGCACTGTGAGAGGGACAGCCTATAATGCTGTCTCTCTCACGGTGCTATTTCTGTTCGCGCTTTGTGCGACGTTATAGCGGCCGTGTGCCTATCCTAGCGCTGTGCGAGAGAGACTGTAGTGCTGTCTCGCACAGCGTTGTGTTACTGAATATGTGTACCTACCTATCGTGAAATGACTGTTGCGCAATTCTTTATTAAAATAACAATAATTTTACATTTCACTTATAACTAACTATGACTACTATTTACAACACATAAAGATTATTAAACTATTGAATTAGGGCGGCGGCTGTTCTGTACAAAAGCGTTCAATCATATTTAAAGCGTTATTCCATCCAGTAAAACTTGGTTTTAATGTTTGAATAAATCTATTTAAATAAAACTGAAAGGTGACTGACTGACTGACATAGTGATCTATCAACGCACAGCCCAAACCACTGGACGGATCGGGCTGAAATTTGCAATGCAGGTAGATGTAATGACGTAGGCATCTGCTAAGAAAGGATTTTGATCAATTCTACCCCCAAGGGCATAAAATAGGGAATGAAAGTGTGTATGAAACTTTGTCAGTTTTAAACCGATCGGGCTGGGACTTTGCATGCAGGTATAAGAAGAATCATAGATGAATGTCATTGTGTATAATACAAGCCTGAGAATAAAAACTGTAGTCTACACTTTAGCTCTACGCCGAAGCGAAGCGAGGGCGGGCCGCTAGTGAAATATAAAATTGTTTCTAAAATAATATTGACATAAATATTCAGTTACGGTGAAGACAAAGACGAGTCAGTGATAGAAGCGGATGTGGAATACCTCCGTCTCACTCGGAAGGTGATCAACGACGAGATCACCAAGTTCGAGGATCTGCGCTGGCTGGTGGGATGGTTCAATAACAGATCGGAGCTGATACAAGAGCACATGTGCAATACCAGATACTTCTCCGTGGGTGAGTATATTTTTATAAACTGCTATACTTAATTGCTTGATATCATTAGTAGCAACGGACTAGACCGGGTTATCTTCCACGAACGCCGAGCATAGATTGCCATTCAAAATGTTCTCATGTTACCTTTTGAAAGCTAGAGTGCGCTAGTTCTTTGTGTAGATAAATTCATTCGCGCCTTTTATTTTAACAAAAAAAGAACATCAATATCTTACATAAAATACAATAAACAAAATTATTAATATTAATTATCTAGTTAAAACAGTACTGATTAATTGAATATTTCATTCTGTAATTTGTTATAATTAAGACACTTTCGATTAAAGTTTCTAGAGTTGCAAATTAGAAAAAAATAACATCATGGACATATAAAATGATGAAATATCATGAAATAATAATAATAAAGCCTTTTTATTTCAAGCAGAGAATGAAAATAAACAAAATTACAAATATTATAGTTTTGGAACTTTAATGCAAGAAAGTGTGATTCTGGTTATTGGACAGGTAATGGAAAATATGGGAACAACTTAAAAAAATATTTTTGGATGACGTTTTACCAAATTAATTGTTTACAATAATTACACTTCTTATTAAACAATTGTTAGAACTAATCCCAAAAAAATTAACTCCAAAATATTACAGACATAATAGATATTTGTATGGACGATCAAAAATCAGGTCAGCTGAGAATTACCGCGATCAGCTGATGGTGATAATGAATATTATTTTTATATATAGCCTATTCTAGACGGATGTAATCCAGGGTCCCAACAAAGGTGACATTGCCCTTTGCCATCCATCTAGACGAAGGATGTAATCCAAATTTTGATTTGACCTTCTACGTCCTTGGATTGCGGGCGCATGTTTCCATCCACGGTTGGAGCGCGTGGATTACAACCGTTTGGCAAGCGGATTACATCCAACCAAAGACAGTTGCACGGTGGCAGTCGGCGGTTGCGCACGTATGCGTGCACGTATACTTAGGAAGTTATGAATATCATTAAAGTCCAATTACTCCAATAAGTTTGAATGGCTGAGAATCATTTACTCATTTAACCAACGCTTCATCTATTTTCTCTTTTTTTGTTGTTTTTCGTCGTCTTTGCTCACAAAACTGCTAAGGCAAAGCCCACTTTTTCAAATTTAGGCAAAGTTGGAGCCATTTCTTCAACACGGTTAATACAGTCCGCGCACGATACGAGTGCATACGTGTTTTCGCGCCAGAAGACAGCTTGCGATTGCGTGTAGAGACGTGGATTACATCCGTGTAGCCGAAAAAGATAACGTGGATGGAAACCAAGTTCCCATCTTGGTTTGTAAGCTGGATTACATCAGTCTAGAATAGGCTTTACCCCCTTCCAGCATTACTGTTCGTTTTATTTCGATAATATCTGTCATTCGACATGATATATTTCGTTATTTATGATTTTTAAATTTTAGATTGTAAGTAAAAGAAATGTATGCCAGAAATGGTAAATGTGCAGAACTTATCTGATATTACACCTTTATGTTTTTACCGCATTTGTACATATGAATAAATGAATTATGACGACCTCCGTGGCTAGAGTGGTATGTACGCCGGTTTTCAAGGTGTCGCCTTCTCAGGAGTCCCGGATTCGAATCCCGGTGGGGGAAATGTTTGCGTAATGTATACGAGCATTTGTACCTACGTCAGGGATGTTTATATGCGATTCTGAATAAAATATACTTATATATGTATCAGTACAGGTATTCTATCCGTTACCCTAGTATTCCATAACACAAGCCTTACAGTGCTTACTTTTGGTTGGTCTGTGTGTGTTGTTTTTTTAATTTATTTAATAAAGGCTTACCAACTAAACACATATACGACATTCACATATTATGAAAAACAATCATTAGTTTCATATATACAGGTGGTCCAACTATAGTGACGTCAACAATTTTGTTTTAGATTCCTCGCACCTGGGGGTATCCGAAAATACCCTATGTATGTTCCGCGATTTTTCTTAGTTTACGAGTTATAATTTTTTTTGTGTATTTTTAATGATTTCTGCCAGCGAGGTTTCAAAAATTCTTATGTTTTTTCGAAGTAGGTATTTTGCAGTCTTTTTTTTGTGACATAATTGTCTTGAATATTCTTTTGATAAAAAAATAACTCAGCTTCCTGCAATTACTTAAAGTTACTCAAAAAAGGCTTGAAAGTTGGAACTTTAGTTTTTAGTAGGATTTACTCAAACGTTCAACTTCAATACAAAAATACGGAATCTAAAAAAAAATTGTTGTCGTCACTAGTTGGACCACCTATGTATGTGTCTAAATTATAGGTAGGTATACATAACATTCAAAACTATCAATTTAATCAACAAATAACATACTTAAACGTCTAGTAGGAAATATGCATAATTTCGATAAACAGATACTGTAAAACGCCACTTCCAAACTTTTTGCGTAATGAAGACAAATGTTTCTTTTTAAAGCACCCAAACTATCATTGAAAATATCAATTTATCATAGTTTTCAGATAATTCATTATACTTAACACTTAACATCATTGTACAAAGAGGAGTAAAACAAATTATTATTATTACTAGCAAACCAGTGAACCAAATGTTCACCAAAACCTGATTTAAAAATAATGTATTTAATTGAGAACTTCGGAGATTTTGTGTGGTTTCGTTTGAAATTCGTGATTTCTCGAAAACCGGAAGTGCTACGTTACTCAAATCCGGTTTGTAGTCTTATCAGACTATTCTTAACTTATAACTTAAACATTCTCTTTATCTATCTCTTACGGTTTGGCCGCTGAAACAGCACCACAGACAGACGGACGGACGGACTTGTCTAATAGATAAGAGATTTATTTTACACAGAACCAAATTATTATTCAAATTTTCCAGGAATACCGCCCACCATGTTTACTCACTCTGAAGAGTACATGAAACGCATGTGTTTGTTCGACAACGTGTACATCGACCACATACCGTACGTGATCGGTGAAGATAACTCGCTGATGGCAGCGGTGGCGCCACCTGTGTTGCATTGCGACGCTGCCACTTGTACTTCAGTACCTTTTATCGACAGGTGAGAATTACAGCTTTAGTCTTAGTTTATCATCATATCATCCTGAGATCCTTTAAAAGAGGCGTTAAGAAGCAACATGTAGGCCGACAAGGTGAGGATGGCTGATGCGGCAGGTAGAACTGCTGTAGCAGCTTTCTACACGTCTGGATTTCACCGTCACTGAACATCAGGTGGGGTGAAGTCAATTGTCGGACCTGCCTATAAAAAATAAACATAAATATTATCTTGCAAACGTGCCAGGGTTTTTTTATTTATTGTCGCAGTACTCCCCGGAAATGTGGGAATTTTACCGTAAATTTACAATAAAAAAAATGGTTGCCTGTAAAGTCGGTTTTACGGGCGAAGATTTTACGTGACAACGTCTTTTTCTCGGTAGAATATTTATTGATATGAATATAATTAAATTGCACAATAGGAACAAGGAATTGAATGAAAATAAGAATTGCACAAATTTTAACTATAGAAATATATTTTGTTTACTAAAACATTGTACATGTAAACTTAAACTTAACACGAGAGACTCATCGTAACGTTACCGAGCGTTACACTTTTTCATGTCACTTATGAAAAAGTCAGCCGCAACCTAATTTAAGACGTTGTCACGTCAAAAACCCGTAAATTTACAAAGAGTTAATTACTGGGATGTTCAGCGGTTCACTATTAGCTATCCGTCAGCCTAGATCGGAATCAACATTTCAAGTCTTTTAGGGCAGAATTAGAAAGGGCGATCTTTCCGCAGTAGCATAGCTGAGACAGCAACCTGTTGCCCTTCCCAGCACAATAGATTTTAATAAGTTTCCTTAGTCTTTTTTTTTTCTCTGTTATTTCATGTTTTTCTATCTTATTGTTTTCTTTAATGAATTTAGGCAAATGAAATGTTTTCTTGCTTGCTTTCTTATGGATAGAAATAACAAAGAAAGAACTGAATACAAGTCTTTTTCCCCAGCATGATGTTTGACGAGCGTCTGTCCCGCACCAACGTGCGTACGGTGACGCGCTGCCAGGCGAGTTGCCGCGCGCACTGCAAGAACGACGCGGACTGCCTGAAGAGGTGCTCCGACAGGTGTCTGCGTGCTGACTGATCGATACAACGCATTAAATACATTACTAATGCATAGCTTTGTTTACTTTCTTTATTATTTATCACATTCACAGAAATAAGGTGGTACAATAAAGTACAGTAACCATGTGACGCCCTGCAAGGGCACAGCAACTTTAGAAGGTTATTTTCTATTAAAAATACGTTATTATTCAATTTCAGAATATAAATTATAAATACAGATTCACTCATTATACGCATCAATTCTTTAAAATATTATTATTTATTCTTATTTACAAACTTCTCTTTATTTATTTATTTTGAAATGTATTGTTTCTGAAATTCGCTTCGACACTGCGCTAGTCTGAATTGACCATTATGATTCATAAATTAATTTACCAAATACAATACAATATAACAACTCTTTATTATACACCACGAAAAACTTTAGACATTAAGCACAAAATCATGTAGTACAAGTGATGCAATGGGCGGCCTTATCGCTTAAAGCGATCTCTTCCAGGCAACCTTAGGATTGAGAGGATTAGAAGGAAATGGGAGAGACAGCGGTGTAAATCGATAGTAAAATATATGTAATATATTAGTAAATACATACATACATCATAGACATATAAGAGATATTTATATACATACAATAGATACAAATACATACATTGATCCAGTCCAGTTAGCAGTTAGTTGTAAGCACATGAGATATTATAAAACAAAAGTCTTTCAATGTCAGATACTGCGAATTCACAAGGTTTTTAAATGCATAAATAGTTTTCGCACGTCTTACCGAAACCGGAAGAGCAGACCCGTCTTTCCCAGTGGGCACTTTGGGCAAGTGCCCAGGGCCCCGCGATCAATAAGGGGGCCCCTCAGATCAAATACAAAGTCCTTAGTTCCTGTTAAATCATCAAACGGAAGTCATAGGGGCCCCATTATCCTAATATGTTCAGGGCCACCAATAGGTCAAAGACGGCACTGCGGAAGAGAATTCCATAGGTGTAAAGCTTGCACTGCAAACGAACGGTGAAAAAAAGTTGTGCCGTGTACGGGAGTCATAAGAGCAAGATTTTCTGATGAACTTGAAGATAACGTGTTAGAATTATGATCTGCAGTCGTTAGCACCCACCAATCCGCACTTTTTTACCCGATTGCGCAATGCAAGAGCGCGAAGCGCGACGCGCAGACAGGGTATATTGTTTAACAGTCTATATATGTATGTTTGTTCCTTTGTGGCACACTAGAGACCAAACGCTTGGACCGATTTTGATGATTATAATATACATCAATATCGGTCCAGGCCAGGCCAGGGATATACATCAATCGATTCGTCTCAATCATGGGAGTGCTACTAAAGATATGATAGTAATCAAAATTCAATATGGGCAAAATTAGGCGCCATATTGTGACGAAGTAAAAAAAATAAGTTAACAAAATATGTCGAGTGGGGTATGACTGTCTAGATAATCGAAAATCATGTTTAGGTTTCTAACACCATTTTTCATTTTACATGATTTTTAGGATCTACAACGCTTTAAAGTTGTATTTTAACCACTTGCGCTTTTAATTTCAATCTTACGTTTGTATGGATCTTTCATACTTACTCTTTCACCTAAAAAATACTTGATGGATTTTAATGAAACTTAACAGTAATATAGCTCATATATGATAATAACATATAAATAGTAATTTATGTAGTTATTGAGTGAATTGGCCAAAATATAACAATAAGTGTTACATAAGACGGAAAAAAATCTCCCATCTGCGAGCCATTTTGGCCTACACTGCAAAAACAATAAAAGTAACATGAATGTAATGGAGAGTGAAAATGTATCCCTTAAATAGTTCTAAAAAAAGTCCGTGACACCATATATCTATTTTTAATGTCTAAGCCATTACCGCTAAAATAGTGAATCAAAACTAAAATATTCTTTGATATCTATTTCCAAAATGCACATTTTGTATTAACATATTATTTTTTATCAAAACAAATACTTTTATCGCTTTTGATATTTAAAGACGATAAACTTTGCCTTTTACACTAAGTCATTTCGACAAATATTATATTATTTATTTATTTATTATATATTTGTCGAAATGTGTACTATGTAGGAGTAGACTGCGGGAATACTACGAGAAGAAGGTGTTTATAAACCTTATTTTAGGTGTTTATAAACGTGGATAAAATCTAGGCGAAAAAGAAAAAAATGGGCTACTCGCAGTATCTGATCCTATACGAAGTACTAACAATAAAACTGTGATACAGTTCCTTCTTATTAAATGATGAAAAATAAATTATCATAATAGGTATTTAAGATTATTGAATTTTAATGAAAAACTCAGAATTGTACTGTTTTTAATTTTTTTTAACGATATTACTTAATGTTACAAAAAAGGTTTACTTAATATAATGACAAATAATCCATGTTTCGCTAGTACCTGCTAGCGCGTACACGGTACACTTATTGGAATCCCTGTATTTATTAATCAGCTCGCGATAATATTGGTTTTGTAATTATAAACGACAATTCTGCAAAATTCAAAGTAAATAATATAAATTTTTATAGGTAAATCACCCCTTTCATCACCCTACGCCTATAAGTATTGGGATGTTGTAGCTAAGAACCAAGTTAAGGGCATTCATTATAATCGATTTAGCTATTAGGGCACGGAAGCGCAACAAACAAACTCACTTTCGCATGCATTATATTATATTATACTTACTAGTGATCCACCCCGGGCATTGTACGGGCGGAATTTATTTTATCGGGATAAAATTTAGCATTAATATTTAAAACCAGTTCAGTAGTTTGACAGATTATTTATTACAAATATACAAATCTTGCCTCTTTATAATATTAGTATATATAGTTAGGAGGAGTATTTAATTGATGAAAAAGATTTAAAAATAAAGTAAGTAATAGGTTTATTTGATTATATTTGTAAAAGTTACTTAGCGTTTGTGCTTAACAGTGATACGTTATTCGGTATTTTTTTATACAAAAAAAATATTTGGAAAGTAATTGCCATGATTGCACTATTTGCAATACCTACTAGGCTGGTTGCCAGCACGCTTGATAGGTGGAAGTACTCTTCATTCGAGCTTTACACTACCAATAAAAAAGGGTCGATCACAAAGACTTTGACCTGTTATATGTGAACTCTTTAAAAGAAAACTACAAAGAGAACTATAAATTGATAATAAATGAGATTGCTATGGTGCGCTACCTAACGTTATGAAAATTTTATTATGCGCCTTTAGTTTAATCAAATACCTATTATAAACTTTGCTTCGGTGATTGCAAAATTATTTAATTTAGCGATCTAAGGCAGTTGCCACCATTGTCCAAAACAACAGACGGAAATTACTGCTTTCTTCAACCTGCGACATAAACATCATTGATTGGTATTGTATATAGGGTGATTAACAACATTTGAATTCAACTTCTGGCATCTACATATTGGGTTTTTGTGAATTATGTAGGTATATCAAATTATGAGACTAGGATATGACACTGCATTTGTGAATATCACAATCTTACAGCCGGACGTTGACATGACAATGCAGCTACTGCCAATTTTAAATAGTCGACGAATAAAAGTAAATGAATTTCATATTTACTGCTTAACTACTAAAAAGAACATAAACAAAAAATGACTTTTTGAATAAGTGCTAGTTTACTATAAAATTTACATACATTAGAGATATTCATGTAACGACTTGATTTAACTTCACACATTTTTGCGAAAATTGAGGCCCATCTGTAGCCTTGACCCCGCTGGTAAAGTCTCTATATGTCTTAATAAATCAATCTTTTAGACCACCGCAAGGTAGGTTTAATAATTCCCGCGATATTAATTCCCTTAATGAAGTAACAAGACTTCGGTATATACCGTCTTAAAATACTAACTAACTAAAAAGTGTGAAATAAAAAAGGTAAAGGAGATTGCTCAGCTTCCATACATGTTTGACCTAAATACCAATAATCATGAAAAGTTGTTTCCTAGATTCGAAATTATATATAAATTACTGTAGAAACGAATATTATTGACGGACACCCCTGAGAACTTCTATAAACCATATACACTGAACATATTAAAATAATAAAAAAAACTGAAAAGAAAAAAACAAGTCCAGTAGTCTATAATTCTGTTAATAAGGAACAAAGCTACTTTAACAGTCGGGGCCCATTAGATATTCAAGAATACATAATATTTTTCAACAGTGGGTCCCGACTGTTAAAGTAGCTTTGTTCCTTATTAACAGAATTATAGACTACTGGACTTGTTTTTTTCTTTTCAGTTTTTATTTGAAGTATAATAAAGCAGTCGGATTTAGTCTTGTTACTTCAGTAAGGGAATTAATATCGCGGGAATTATTAAGTACCTTGCGTCGGTCTAAAACAGCTATACTCTAAGTGTGTTCCGCGGAACCCTAGGGTTCCGTGATACCTCTGTCGGGGTTCCGCAAGAATTTAGAAATAAAAAAATCAAAACACCTCTCTCTGGTCGCTCCGCGGCTGTGCGGACTCCGCGGCCGCGCGGAGACAAAACGCTATGAATGTTATTTATTTATTTATTTGTATTTGTATAAGCTTGTGTTACATTAGCTGGTACAATATCTCATAAGTTTGGTCTCAACAATTTTATACTTGTACAACGCGTTCGCTCTAAGTTTGCCGGTCTGTGGAATGCGCGTACCCTCCCCCACGTGACAACAAAACTTATAATGTGTCATAGTTTTACCCAAATATCTAACGTACACAATTTTTATTGTTACAATTAAATAAAAAATTTCGAACGTCATACACTCATACCTATCGCCAGCGGCAAACTTAAAACGAGCGGGTAGTATACTTGTAAGCGCTCAGTCTCTTTGATAAAAGCCGCCTCTGAATTAGACGCTATAGTTGTCAACTAGCGACTTTCGTCTCTAACTTCAAAGGATAAAGTCGATATTGTTTACAACGCTATTTTTAAATTTCTGTTTTTATTTTTGCTTTTTGTTTATCAAAGGTGCCGACTCGAGTATTTTCGAGAATATTTGAGATCGAGTCTAGGACTAAG